AGAGGGCTTATCTGTACCCCAGAGGTGAGGAGAGGGCCGGTTTTGCTTCTGCCAGAGCAGGAACGAAACCGCCCCGGACTGCAGTTTGTAAGCAATAAATGGATTTTAAACTTTAAAATAAATAAATAAATAAAATGTATGCCAATATCTTTCAAAAAAATATATATATAGATATATATAAACTGGGCGATACTATACAGGCTGACCTACAACTTGCTTTTTCCACAAATTGTAGAGCTCTTTCTACGATTCTGTCACAACGATCGAAATAAATGTCCCATCACTTATCTAACTTGGGTTGTTTCTGAATGTTTTCCTTTACAAACTGCAATGGACACCCCTATTCACAAACATTTTTGTAGGATGTCTAGATGTGGAAATGCTACATCTGGAGTATGATTTTTTCATCTTGAAAGATCCTGCCAAACTGACCTCTGAAGTGATTGGGCCAGCCGCTCTCCTGTGGAGCAGGCCCACACTCCCTCCTTGAGTGTGCACTTTGCTTTATTGAACTACTCTTTGCTCGTACCTGCTTGATCTACCTGTGAATTCTTTCTCAATCAGAGTCAAGAACCCTCCCTGTCCAGGCTGAGGTTTCAGCTAGGGTGCAGGGGACACCCCCTGACGCAGCTGCCCGGCAACATTTTGGCAACCACAAGTAACTCTAAACAGGGCACGCACTAACAGTCGAGGGAAGGAGCAATTCTGTGCTACTTTAAGGCACTCCTGTCTTTGCATCTTGGATCTTTGGCTGTTCTTGCTGCTTCCTTGGTGGCACAAGCCAACCATTTAAAAGCCCCTAGGGTGGCTGCCAACTACTGTTAAGTCTCCTGTGTAAGGGCAAGTTGGTTGTGAAACAGATTGACTCTAGGCCACCTGCCAACCTCAAGACAATGTCTGCGCATCAAGGTACACCGTGAAGCAAAACAGCCCACCCCACCCCGCCCCGCAGCACACTCCCTGCAGTGTAGTCTTGGCTCCCACGGCTCCAGGTCTCCCACTCATGGTGCCCGGGGCGCCTCCTCTGGGACTCAAACACTTCTTCCTCTTGCTTCCATGTCTATCCCCCTGCCTGCACACCTGCTTCTCTTGCCTCTTCATTCACATCTGGACTCCCCACTTCTATGGCCTTGTTCTCTGCCTTTCACGCCTATCCCCCTCCCCTTTGGGAAGGGCAGTCTGTTGGTTCTGTCTATGCCAGCCAGGGTGGCCTAGAATTTAAGCAATGTTGGGGACACCAAAAGGAAGCCAAGAGAGAGACCCTGGCCTTTTGGTAAATCTTATAACCCATCTGATTCGATGTCACCACACTGAGGTGGTTCGTCCCCCCTCAGGGCCACTGAAAATGAGGTTATCAGGATGCTCAGTCACGAAGAGTCTACCCTGGACTTCAAGGCCCTGACCCCTTCTCCCCTAACTCCCATTCCTGGGGCTGCACCCAGGGACGGATTTGAGCCATAGGACACCTACGCATGCTCAGCTGTGCTGCAGGACCTCCTGTGCACACCTGGTATGGGGCCAGGTGTGGAAGGATGCCTCACTTGACCTGTGCCCAAAGGTACTTTTGGGTTTCTGGGGCCACCTGGATAACCCCTAGCCCCTTGGGGATCAGGGGTGCCTGGCCCCCCCTGGTGGTAGTGGGAAACTCTTTTCTCCTCTCAGGTGCTGACTTAGGCATGGGTGACATCTCCTCCATTCTGAATGACTCCCATTAGGGTTCATCATCAA